TTACTTTTAAATTATATTATTATTTTTCCATATTGCAAAATTTCACTATATTTTTCTGCATCCTACTCCTCACTATCATCATTTTCTTATTTATTTTCAATGTTAGATTACTAATTTTGTTGTATTAATGCTTTTCTTTTTCGTATTAGTTTCCTTCTTCGTTCTTTATAAAATGTTGCAGCTTTTATATTTTAATTACATGGTACACAAATTATATAACTCCATGTATATTCTTTGCCATTAGTATAGGTTAGGAATCACGACTCTCCACATATGATATTATTCACTTTGAGCATAAGTTTTCGTGATTTTGCTTTGGACATCCCCAAAATACGTCATACCAATGGATAGTATTCCTTACTTATAAACTCATGATTTTCCACAATATAAGACTCACACCCAATAATCCTCAACAATTGTCTTTTAGTACACTAAGATAAGACTAAGATGAACACATCTCTTGAGTGGAAGGCCATACTATTTTTCCGCCATACTATTTTTCCTTTTTTTTTTAAATGCAGTTATGAGGAGTGATGAAAACTTTAAAAAGAATCCAACATTATTGAAGATCCACATAAATCTTATAAATAATTGAATTACTTTAGCATCATTTGAAAATTTCATTTTTATATATATTTTTATAAGCATTGGGCCCGATTGAATCATATGGCCCGGGAGAATTTTGGGTCGTGTGGAGTCCAGGAGATTCTGTTACCATAAAATATAGAAAAATCAAGCGAAACAGTCACTTTGGAGGTTAATTAAAAAAAAAAAACATATATATTCCAATTCTTATCCTTCCACCTTATTTTTGTAAAAAAAAAAATTGATTAGAACATTATATTCTCAAAGAAAAATAATAATGGATCTAGAGTTTAACATTTAACATTTTCATAACATTTTTAGTGCTCGATTTTGAGTTTAGAGTATAATTTTCAATTAGTTTATATATTTTTTAAAGCACTACATTTTTTCTAGAGTCTAGTTTCAATTTGATCTATATAAATGTACAAAATGTTATACTTTTATCTTTGGAATTTGAGTTTGGTTTCTTTTTCATTTTACACTTTCATTTTTGAATTTTTACTAAGCTTACATTTTGATTATTTGTGTTAATATTCTATGGGTTAATTTTTAGAGATTAAAGTAGTTCTTAATAACATATTGTCACCATTAAAATTAGTTAATCAGCTGATAGTTGATGGGAAAAACTCAGAAGCTGGGCAAAAAAAAACAGTATTACAATAAAAGTAAAAGAAGAAGGGATATAGATAAGTACAAGTGAGGGGGTGGATGTGTGGTAGGTGTTGGGTGTTGGGTATTGTGGGGCTGGAGAGAGAGTGTAAAGGCACATGATGGTCTGAGGCTGAGGCAAACAAACTATATATAAACTTGGCATGATGAAAGATATTGGCAGCAGGGTGGGTGCATGAATGGGCTTGTTTTTCTGCGAGGGCTTCGAGGAGCAACAAATTTGTATTATTATTATTATTACGATTAGGTTAAAATATCATTATGATCCCACTATTATTTTTTACATTATTATACTTTGGTCCTACTTTTTTATTTTTTTAATTTCTAAAATATTCTAGATTAAGGACAAAAATAATATAAAAATTAGAACATGACTAAAATATTGAGGGAGGGAGAGAGGGTACATATATGTATGTGTGCAAAAGAGATGTCTGACAGGGCAGGATTCCCACATCCAAAGCTCTAAACTATACAGAGAGGCTTTGAATTTGGTTAGCCATTTTGAACATATGAGTTTAGTTTGCTTTCCTTTTGATGGTTTGCCATTTTCTACATTCATGGAAAGGCAATGCCACAATTTCTCCCTCTCCCTCTCTACTTTTTACTACTGCATGCTTTGCTTGCCAGCCTTTTCAATTTCCATTATTATTCTCTCTCTCTCTCTCTCTATTTTTCTCAAATCTTTCCTTTCATTCCAAACTGCCCATATGCCTCTTTCTCTACTCCCTGGGTTACACTAACATATTTATCGTATTTAACTTATGAACATTCAAATAGCATTCGTGCGAGAAGAAAAAGCGGTGTGAAATTACCTATTCGTTGCTTGGATTAGATTAGATTACTAAAAGATAGGATGTTGGAGGTAGCTTATGTATAAAGTTTGAACATGTATGGACGAGAGTAACGATTCATGCTCAAGATTCGAAATTTGGTCACGCTACCTATGTCTTCACTTCTTAAGAGTGAATGGGTGAGTGTAACGACTCATGCTCAAGATTCAAATTCAAAATTCGGGTTTGGCACTGATGGCCCTTTGCATTCCATGGTCACGTTACCTCTTTTTTCGTTTCGTAAGAGAAATTATCTCCGAGTCATTTCAGTATGTTTTGTCTTCACTCACATGCATTCTTATCTTTTCGTTATTATTCATTCTATCTTCATCTCTATCATTCATATGTAATTTCAGTTTATTGGTTCACTCATGTACTCCTTTTTTTACTCGGGTGTTACAGGGAGAGGATGATCATTCGTATGTAATTTCGATGTAATTTCGATTTATCGATTCATTCATGTATTACTTTTTCACTCACAGTTCATAGTTCACAGTGAAAACAGTGAAATCTTTTATCACGTGGGTGAATTTTATACTGAAATATCAAATTAATGTAAGAAAATAGAATGTATTGAATAAATTCAGGTACAATATCATCTTTAATTGTATTGAATTTTATCTCATTTGTTCTATTCCACGATCATTTGAGAATCACGGATGCAATAGGTATGGAGATTCTAAAATCATTTAAATTTTATTTTGATAATATTAAATCTTTTAAGTTATTGTAATTAACCATTTCAAAATAATTCGTAAATATTTATTTGATGTAAATTAAATATAGTGTGATTAAACCATTTTATAGATAACCATATTTTCACCTTTTTCTTTTTTAACTATTCTATTAATAAAATAAAATATTTATAGTAAATCATATTATCAATAATTAATGTCACATGATCGACCAAATTAATATTAAATCAAGTATAATTAAATGAATAAAATAAAATTATGAATTTTATTAACAATCACATAGGGATGCATCAACGAAATTAGAGTAAGATTCCAATAAATTAAATTACTCATTAAATTATTTTTAAAATCAATGGAAAACGGAATAATAAATTAATAATACTACACATTCCTATTTGACTACTATTAAAATATTTAATAAATTATATTACTTCCCAATAATTTTCAATATTTTAGTTTAATTATAAATTTTGAATCTGACACTGTCCATTTTCTGCCCTAAAAACCCCTTTGGAAGAGCATTGTTTTGACAGCTAAAGATTCTTTTGCAGACATTGACTCTTCATTGAAACAATACACACTGATTTCATTACAAATTAAAACATGTTTTTTTCTGACCCAAAATCACCATTTGTTCATATATCCAAACTCTCCAATTCAAACCCAATGAATTGGTAATCTTGAAATTTTCTTGTTAGAATTATAAGTTTTGTGCTTGAATTTCGAGTTTCGTTTGGTTTTTTTGTAGTGTAGTTTTAGGGTTTTACAAATTCCCGACCACATCACTAAATTTTGTTTTTCTATAGCAAAGCTCGTACGAAACATCAACATGACATGTTTACAGCTAGTAGATATTTTCCGCTTTGGCCTGTTATATCATCAATCTCACGATTTTAAAACGCGTTTAGGAAGAGATTTCAACACTTTTATTACAAATGTTTCATTCATCTCTCCAACCAATGTGGAATCTCATAATCTACTCCATTGGGGGCCCATCGTCTTCGTTGGCATACCGTTCGGTGTCTAGCTTTGATACCATTTTAACAACCCAAGTCCACAACTAGAAAATATTGTCCGTTTTGACCCATTATGTATCATCGCCAGCCTCCGTTGTTAGGGAGAGGTTTCCATACTTTTATAAAATATGTTTCGTTCCTCTTTTCAGGGATATCACATAATATAATGTGTTATGAACTAACTAATAGTGGATTTGCAACATCAAACCACAGAAAATTCTAACGATAATTTTATACTTATGGCTTCATAACCTAACAAATGTGACGTATAGTTTAGAAAGTGGACTTATTCCTCATAAAATTTTAAATTATAGATCTATATGATTCGATCAAGAACGACTATAAATTAAACGTCGAATTATAAATTTATAAAATTTGAAAGAAAAGAAGTGGAAATCTCTGTCGTCCCTTAAAATTTTATAAAATAAAACAATAAAGAATGTGATTGAAATAAAAATTATAGAAAATTAATTAAAAAAAAAAGTGACGTGGATTGAAAGAAAAGATGGTGGTGGATGGATACTTTATGGTATTTTCCATATTTCCCCCATTTTTTAATGGTTTAATTGAGATTTGAAAGCATAAAATAAATGCAAATGAGGAATCATATGTGTTTCCAAACACTCCAAGACAAAATGAGATTCACAATACAAAAGCAAATTTTGAAAAGGAGACCTCAAACCCCATAACGACCCTTTCTTATCTTACCAACTTACTTAACCCCCTCTTTCTCGAGATTTTCTCGGGACAGTTAAATCAATGTACTTAACGTTTTTAAAAGAAAGTAGAAGTTATAACACGTATTTCGACGATGAATCGATCTGGTGATTAATAGGGAAAAGAACAACCGTGTTTAGCAAATTTTTCTTTTAGTTTTAGGGGTATGTGACGACTTAAGGGCCCGAACCCTAAATAACTCCCTCTTTGTTTCCCAAACTGGAATGCCCGTTGTCTACGCCAGCTCGATGATCTATGCATGATCACGATGTTTTCCCGATCTAAAACGGTTAAAGTAGGTGATAGCTAATGTGTGGGTAGGGAGAGTGTTGTTAGAGGCAAAATATGGGGTGAAATTTGAACCCCACAAAGCTCCCATTTTTACATTGTTTCCACCACAAAAACCCCACCATTCATTAAGCTTCCTTAATTCCCTATGTTTAGCTCTCTTGTTTTCCCCCTCTCTTTCCCTTCTTCCTTGTGAATATATACCTTCCCTTCTTCCTCTCCTCACCCCTTCTCAATTTTCACATATCCCTCTCTCTCTCTCTCTCTCCCTCTATCTCTCTCTCTAGGATCATGTTCTTCCATGGAGGCTCTCTTTTACGAGTCTCGTGTTGTTTCTTTTAGAATCTCGGTTCTCAATTACTGGGTAGAGGTTCAAATTTACGATCTCTTACTAGAATTAGAGATATCTTAACTACTGGGTTATGTTCGATTATCTTAATATACGATTTCTTATTAGAATTGGAGGTATTTTAACTATTGGGTTATGTTCGAATTATCGTTTCATCCCTCGAGGGCTTCGTTCTCGAAAAAAATCTCATGCAAAAAGCTCGTATCTTTCTGATTTGAGGAACGCTCGTGTTTATTACATGCCTGGCTCCCTGTATGCCATTTGTAGAGCTCATCCGACTCTCCGATGGGCCTCCGCAGATGGCGTATGAGGAGCCATGCATATACCTAATTTCACCTTCCTCACTCCATTCTTCCATTAGGGTTTCATCAAACCCACCAAAAAAAATTAGGGTTTTGGTCAAATTTTGAGGGTTAAAAGTAAAAATTGTTTCTTTTGAGGGATTATTTGTTAATAACACAAATTTTGCAGGAAAACCCAGAAGTTACTGCAGAGAAGAACAAAGAAGAAGAAGAAGAACGCAAATCTAACCGTGGGATCTATTGGCCAAATCGACGGTAAAATTTTGTAACTTTTTTTTTTTTTTTTTTTTTTTTTTTTTTTTTTTTTTTTTTTTTTTTTTTTTTTTTTTTTT